GCTTAGTTAATTATAGGCTACAGCTACCTAAGAACTCTAGACTCTACCTAGTGTTTCATGTCTTGTTATTAGAACTAGTAAGAGGGAATACCCTAATTGTAACTGACACTGAACTCTAGCCTAAGAATGAAATTGTTAAGTACGAGGTTAAGGCGATCCTAGATAGAAGGTTAGTAGGATGCTAGGAAGAGTTTTTAATAAAATAGGAAGGCTACGAACCCATAGACAATTCCTAGGAACCTACGAGGAACATTAGCTATGACTTAATTTGGGAGTGGAAACGCTAACACCCCTAGGAAAAACAGCAGTTAGATTAGTAGCGAGGCTGCCCTAGAAGGGTTTAGGGAGCCCCTTAAAGGCATTAGGATTGATAAAAGGAGATTCTAGGAAGGCAGAGGCCTTAGCTAAAGCAGCTGCCCTAGCTTCTTGTTAAGATGACTCCTCCTGCTCTTCCTTCTCTTTCGCATTAAGTTCCTCTAGGGTTAATATGCTAAGTTTAATCATTCTCTGCTCCTTGTTATTAAGCAGACGTTGTTGTTTCCTTAGGCGGATGATTTTCATCATAGCTTCCTCCTCCTCGTTGCACAGCTTCTTACGTTAGTGATCTAGGGAAGCCTAGCTACTAAGGGAAGGTAGCTTTTTAGTAAAGTCGCAACTTGTTTTGCAATAGCATACACATTTGGAACAACGGGTGGATTTTGGACTAGAAGCAACGCATCGTTTCTTAGTCTGAACGCAGAATCTATAGGGAGACATCTCTTTACTAGATTTATTAATACGAAGGGCAAGGGCGATTTCTTCTAGTCTTTTCTTTAAGCTATAGGCAGTTATGATGGGAAGGACATGGTAGCGCAACCTGCCTAGTAAAAAAAGTAGGCGTCACCCTGCTTAAGTAGTTAGCAGTTTCCTTAGTCAGCAGGCCTATAGGACTAGGCCTTAGGGAGAGGGACCTAGTATTACAGCTATAACGTAATATAACTAGTCGAGGGATTTGAGGTGCTAGAACAGGAGGTCTAGTATTAGACTCTAAGCAACGCCAACCCATTTTAGGATTAGGGGCTGAGCAAGCTAAGGGATTCTAGGAACCGAGTGGCTCCTAGAACCCTAGGGCGCAGGAGCAAGGGGGGGTGTGGGAGTGCTAGGGTTCTTAGAACGCTAGGTTCTAAGAACTAGTCGCATCCCACAACCTCACGTGATAGACTACGTAGGACTATGGTGGTCTAGTATAGTAGGACTATAATGGACCATAATGGTCCTTTATGGCATTAGGCACGACGCCACTATATAAGTAGATAGTTAGTTCTTAGATAGGAGCTTCATGCTCAACTTAATACAGTATTTGTTATATACTAGTAACGTGTTTTACGAAAGTCTTTGTGTCTGATCCCCTGCCTCCTCTGTTAAGTAAACTAACGCAACGAAACCTCTATGAGTCTTATACGTTTAAGACCTAGCGTTACATAGCTATACTAGTGGTTAAGAATTTTGTGTTCTTTAATGAGACGCTATAGGAGGATCTTTTGACGAAGCAGGACTAGTAATCTCTTACGGATCTAAAAACAAGTATTATAGAGAATTAGGAGCTAGATCTACTAATGATGTTAGGTAAGGCTAGGATATAGGAACTAGAAGTGCTACTAGCAAGGACGTTGCTAGAGTCAAAGTTGACAGTAGTTACAGCGACACTAAATCCATCTAGGGATAAATCCCGCATTTAATCTGTGCTAACATCCTATCGTAAACGATTCTAACATGCACTTCTATATACCTAGCAGCTCTGCCTATAGCCCATTATAATGCTGACGACAAAGAGGAATGTCTCACCATCTACGTTGCTATTAGAGGCTAATATGCTAACCTAACTAAGGTGGCTCTTGCACTAGTACCACCATCATGACAGTATCTAACGCTTTTCTGTCATAGACGACGGCTTCTCGCCTGTACTCGCTTTGCTATTAGGGCAGCAGGACTGTATAATTCGGACTTAGCGAAAAGTAGCCTAAAGAAGCTGGTTAAAAAAGATACATTAACAAGTAATAGGGCAACTTTCTTTAAGCTTCTAAAAAAGAAAGCAGACAATGAATATTCTCGCACCTGTTAATAATAAGCAGCAGAGAAATGACACCTAATGTTCTATTATCTCAACATTTATTAGCGTTGTCACGCTACACTCTCCTGCGTCTTAGCTTTTAATGGCGGCATTTGAGATTGCCTAGGGCAATTCTAGCCTCAGCTTCATCCTCGCATTCATTCTTGCTGTAATTTTCAAAATCAGAAGCTCTTATCCATAGAAAATTACTGTTGCGTACATACAACTATGAGATATTTAGTCTGTCTACAGGATTAGGGTCCACTCTAGGAAGGTGGCGACAGCAAGGGCAATGGAGATGATGAGTGTGGTGGTAAAAGCAGCTAGGCCTGCTAACATAGAACGGAATACAGTAATTAGTTAACAGGAATCCAGCATTAGTGGTTTAGTAGTAAAATCCATTGTTGCCATTAATGGGCCCTGTGTTTGATTCACAGCTAATGCATTAATTATTTGAATTAATTCAACAACTCTAATATAATAGGTTTATAAATTATTTTTTGCTTATTTCTATTCTTTTACTAGATATTATAAGTAGCTAACCTACCTAAGCAAGCTATAAATTTTAGTTATAAGGAGCAAAAAGCTTCTTTTCTAATTTACATATAAATCTTATTAGATCTAGCATGTAATATAGAAGTATTAGTGTTGTTTTATTTCCTACTATATAGTAGGGAGAAGAGATATGTTACTACTAGTATAAAGACATAGGGAATACAGCTCTCCTATAGGTGTATATAGGAGTGTAAGTTAGAGGTAATACTATATTCTTATAAGGATGCCTCCTTACATAGGGTACATTTAGACCTATAGGGCAGCACGTAGCACTAACACTATAGGGTGGTAGTGTAGGAGTTTAAGGGTTAGGGTAGATTTAGGTAATAGACAGGAGTAAATCTATAGGCATGTTAGGCTTAGCTAAGTTAGACCTAATACAGATACTTAAGGGGTAGGAAGCCTTACACTCCTCCTTTATCTTCTTTGTATCCTTTATAGTAGACCTATAGGATTGCACTAACTCCTATCTAACTTACACTCCTATATGCCACTTCTTATGATATAATGCCCTATGTCATTACATTATATAAAAAAAGATCACACTTACTAGGGACAGCTGTACTTAAATAATATCCTACACTAGAACAACTTAGGAGAACTACTATTACACTATTACTAGCTACAACTTAGTGCCGTTTTAGAGCAGAGACCTAACGACTTTAAATAGCTATGATTATAGAGATCTTATAGACAGCTAGTAGATTAGGGTTTAATCCTGTAGAGCAAGCTAGTAAAGTCGCTGACGCGTTAGTGCTAAATAGGATACAATATCCTAAATAACCCCCTTAAGCATAGAGGCAATTGTGAACAAGAGTGCTAATAGCTACAAGCTACTAGAAATTAGACTCTTTAGTATCAACTGCAACTTAATACACCCCTAAACTAATATAAGGAAGATGACCTTAAATATACCCTAAGACAACAATAGTCAACCGTCTAGAATGACAACTAGGCAGACCACTACTGCAGGCACAACTACAAGGCTATCTAAGAGCCCCCTAGATTAAATCGCAAACCTTAAAAACGAGATGCGAGAGCTTAAAGCAATGATAGCCAACCTAGCAGCAACCTAGACTAGAATCCTGTCTACGCTAGCAGCAGACACTCTAGTACACACTATTAAAGCTGACGAAAATGAAGACAAATAGCCTAAACAGCCTATAGTAATAATGCGAAACACCTTTGGCACTGTTTAGTTGTCACCTGTTAGTAATGCACGCTCTCCTTTAATCCTGGTTCTACCCTAACAGTACACTAAGGACCCCTTAAGTTGCTATAAGAAATTGTCTATATTAGAGAAAATCACACCCCTTAGCAATAGCATTAAACACACCTTCCTATAGTAGAGTGCTTCCATTTAGGACCAACTTGTAGTTAACAAAGACCATTACCCTACTAACGTGTTACGACGAGCGTTAATATGGGGAACTACAACTAGCCTAGCTAAGAAATACCTAGAACCCTAATACCTATCTAATACGCATAGGTTCTAGAGCACTAACGAAATGATAGACCTATTAGGATCATATTACCTTATAGGTAACGAGACTAAATAGGCCTGGAACAAATTCAACGATATGCAAATGGGCAAGAAGGGCTACTCTTATAAGTCCTTCCCTAAGTTTAAGGCCTGTTTCTAGAGCGCAGCTATTACTAGATAAGTATTACAATTAGAGTGGTTTTAGTACATGTGGAATAAGCTGACGCTGCAATTCTGTAGCTGCGTAGCAGTCATTAAGAACTAATAGAATGGTAACTACTAGGTTATGGTCTAAGAGCTTACTACGTTTAATTAGGAACACTAGAGGAACAACGAGTTAAGCTTCCTGTCTATAGCGTTAAAGCTAAGCTCAGCAAGGTCTACAGACTAGCCTAAGTTAAGCTCCACGCCAGTGTTGAGACTAACCCGACCTATTACTACTTCTACCCTTCCTCTGTTTAACTAGACCTAGTTCCCTACCTATATAAAACCAGACATTATAGGGCGTGCCTAAGCTACTGCTCTAGCTGCCACTAGCAACTGTTTTAAGTGCAGCAAGTCTAGCCACTTCTAAGACAAGTGCCCACTTACTGCTATAGTAAAAGAAATAGACTAGGAGGCCCCTAAGTCTAAGGAACACTAGGAGGAAGCTATAGAACTCTAGTTAGACAAGGACCTAGAGGAAAACAACGAGGCCTAGGGAAAGGCTTCTAACTAGGTCTATGCAAATGTAATCTATAAGATCTTAACCTAAGAGAACTCTTAGGAGGAACCTAGTTCTTAGTTAATACTATGCTAAGTCTAAACGGACTTAGGGTGCAAACTAAGGCTCTTGTAGACACAGGAGCAAACGGATACCTCATCATTAATAAGCCCTTTACACTATGACTATTAAAGGTGCTTTAGAGCCCTATATAGAAACTACCCTACTCTATACCTATATGCAGCTTTCATTAGAAAATCTAGAGCCATGTATTAGAGTATATTTAGATGCACTTAACAGTTAAAGGATGCTGAATATATAACTGCCCTTTTATGCTCCTAGACCTTAGAACGCAAGATGTAATAATTAGGAAGAAGCTTTTTAGCTGCTTCTAAATACTACTTAACTTAGCTAAGAGCTAGCTAGTATGGCTAAAGGAGTACCTGCTGACTCCTAGCTAGAGTAAGGAACTCACCTTACCCTACTACTTACGCGAAACGTCCATTTAACATCTAGTACACTAGTTAGATGCAAATTGTAGGGATGCTGCAATCTACTATAAAGACAGATGCTACGTAGGCAGACGCTTAATAGAGATTATAAAAGTGATAATTTTAGCCTCACCTAAAACGACTACTAATACCC